AGATAGATAGATAGATAGATAGATAGATAGATAGATAGATAGATAGATAGATAGATAGATAGATAGATAGATAGATATAGTTACTGTATATGGTTCATTTGAGGATGGAGGGTACATCTTGTGCACTACCAAAGATAAACAGAAAAAACACCTTCAGCAGTATTCATCTTTATATCCAAAAATCAAGCAAATACTAAACCATCAGGTCCACATGTGGAATAGTGACCCTCTGTCCACTGCTTCCCCACTAACCTTTGAACCTCTGGTCTTCATCTACATTGTGAGGATATAGGGAGCACGATGTGTTCAGCTCCCCTTTAGTCCATTCCTTCTACCCAATGCCCACCAAACTGTAGGTTGTCACTTATTTACAGTCTCCTCAATATTCCTGCTGTAAGCTGAAGACTTCAGGATTTAGCATTTCACTTCCAGTGAACCCATTGATTTTACTGAAACTGAACTGCAGTGTTGTTCCATTTCACACAAGCTGAAAGACCTTGGCTTCTTTTCCATTCCGGCACAGAAAATATCTAACGCGATGACCACAAACCTCTGCATTCCTATGCTATGCTGATAGCTGATAATCAGGGGGCTAAGTATTGGGAGTCTGAATCCCCACTGTATGTCTCAGAAGAAGGGCCAACCTGTGTAGCCTTGGGCAGGCTACACAGTCCCAAGATGCTCCCAGAAGAAGAGAATATTCTCTACTTTAAAAACCCTGGCAAGGGTCACAATAGGTCAGAATTGACTTGACAAGTCATTATTAACTATTAATTATTTTATTTAATTTTTCAAAATATTTCCTGATGGAAAATACCGTAGAATCCCTACCATTTATAACCAAATTTAAAATGGGCACTCAGTTTATCTTAATGCCAGAGCGAGCACATATATACCTTTTACTCTGATCATGCAGATCAATGAAGTCACAGCTAGAGTAGTCCCATTGAATCAGTGGGCATTTGGTGAGTCGATTTTTCCATATGTTCTACTGATTCAGTGGGCCTACCCTTGTTATGACTAGTTACTACTGGATTTCAGCAACTGTCTGTAGAAACGGGTCAGATAACAAAGCTGTTGCACTATTTTATAGAGTAGACAAAAATGTTTGCTTTTGTAATTATGTTCAGCCTTACTTGTCTTAGGAACGTGCAATGTTGGTATATATGTTAAAAGGCAACTTTTGAAAAATCCTATGTAAAAATTTAGAAAGACTGAGAAAATGCATATTTGACTGCTTTGAGTGATGATGTTTTGAATATGATAGCTATACATTAGCATTCCCATGTTTCTCTCACTTCCCCTCCTCTCTTCACTTTTTCTCATTCTGCCTCTTTCATGGTCATACAGATACTATAAAGGTTGACAGAAGAATTCTTTAATAACTAGTAAACATTGATGCATTTTTAAAAAATGTTCAAGTAAACCCTCAAACCCATTGGAAAGGGAAAAAGCAAAGCAGTCTTTTGTTATCAGGCTATTGAGTATAAAAGGCAATTTAGTTCTTTCTAAGCATTTGCAGTAGCTGGGAGACAAACAGCTATTGTTCAGAGGTCTGTGTTTCTCATTAATAGACCAGGCTTTTTGAATTCTTTGGAGCACCCCCCCCCCCTC